TCATAATTAAAATGCCAAAGGTTAAAGATAAAGAGACTCTTAAAAACAGCAAGAGGAAAGAAGTTTAGTTCCAGATGGTGGCCAGATGGGAGGCGAGTGGGGGAAAATGGATGAAGAGGTGAGGGAATTAAGAAGCACAAATAGGTAGTTATAGAAAAGCCATGTGGATGTGAAGTGCAGTGTAGTAAATGGGGTAGCCAAAGAACTTATACACATGACTCTTGGACATGAACATTGCTTGAGGGAGTAGGGGGTTATCATTATAATCATTATTTTTACTATAATTATAGTTTTCCAATAAAGTACTACATTCTACATGGTTGCATGGAATACATTAATAAAGTGTTCTTATCCTCCAAGGGCTTGGGTGGAGGTGGGCAAAGGGGAGAAAATCAGGGCAACTGTAGTGGCATAATCAATAAAATATAATTACAATTTTAATAAATAAAAATTGTTTTAAAAGTCAGAAACTCAGTAGAAAATAGTCAAAGTGTAATGCAGAGGCAATTCTCAGAATAAAGAAACAGACTGATTCAAAAGAGATGAAGTGATGCTCAACTAAAATACCAATCAGAGGAATCACAACAAAAGCAACCTGAAGCAATGCTCTGAGGCCATCAACTTCCGAAACAGAGTTATATGAAGCTGTGCGCTGATGCCATTATGGTGAGATGGAGCCCTTCTGCACACAGAAGGGATGTGAACCTGGGCACTTATCCAGGAAAAAGTCTGACAGCAGCACTCGATGGATATAAATCCATATGTGTGTACCTTATGACCAAGCAATTCTTAACTCCCAGGGATGTGCCCCAGACAGAATTCCTAACAGGTCAGTAAGGAGCCGTGTATATGTGGTTTATCTCAATGTTGTTTGTGATCAAGGGGGTTAGGTATAATTTAGGTGCTCACTTCTGGGAGCCTGGGTAAGTAAAACTTGGTGTTTGTACACAATGGCAAAATTGGAGGCAGTTGGAAGAAATGAACTCATTTTAAATATGTAAGTGTAGATAGCTATCCAAACACTAACATTAAATGAATGTAGTAAGAAACAAAATGAGGTTTATGGGACAAATAGGTTTATGCAATTTAGAACACATTCACACGCACTCAACGACATGTTGTTTTCCAGAATGCCACACATGCAGATAAACAAATACATGGAGAGTGAATAGGATGAACACACATTGCACAAGGGAGACTAGAGTGAAATTAAACCAGCCAGGGGTCCTGCCCGGAGGATGTTAAGCCAATGCCATACACTGAAGAGTATAATCAACTCTCTGTTCACCTGAGGTTAAAAAAAAAGCAAAACTAAAATTTATATAACTTTAAATGAAAGAGGCTAAAATAATTCTTAATGGAATGCACACTGATTGAAATAACTATGACTACCAACTAATGTTTATATGAATAGAAATTAGAACACAGACATAGTATGCAAACTGATTAAAGTAACAACAAATAAACACAAAATGATATACAAACTGATGGAAACTACCTAAAAATAATTTCACCTGAGTCAGTTAGGGAAAAGATTCTGTTTTGCTCTTTTGCTTTTTCTTGAAACCACCTTCTAGGAAAAAAATTCACAAAGGTGTTTTATGATGGCTTATAAGCAAGGGCACTTTACAAAACCACTGTGATGGGGCATCATGTTTTTATGGAATTCTTTTTAGAGTCCCCTCCTATTCCTTGTATGAGGCTACAGGGTAAGTACTACAGCCCAGTGAAGGGATCATTTAAACAAGTCCTTTGGTCCTTTTATGTCCCTCTTTGGCAATTTCGAGCACATAGTTGGTAAGGTAGGAGGGGGTCTGACATTCATCTTAGGAAGAGTCACTACTGCACCTCCCCACGACTTCCAGGAGCTGATACACTTGGAAGTGAGGACGAGGGGAAAGGAGGACACTATGCTGGGCTAGTGAAGGTGGAAGATTCTCTCCTATTGCTCTGTCAGAAACCAGTTCACTCACTGAGTCAGGTTCTCCATGGAGCAGGCTCTAGCCCACTCTCTTAAAGCAGCCTTGCGTTTGATCTTGTCTCCTGTGCATCTCTCTCCTGCACCCTTCAAAGGAGAGTGCATGTAGAGTTTCTGAAGAGGAAAAGTCTAGGAAAGGATTCAAGGCCTTGTTCTTTGCTATCCTAGAATATAACAACATAGGCAGAAAATGAACTTGTTCTTTAAAACTGAAACAGCTATTTTAAGTAACAGAATTATGGATGAATGTCGTCTCCAATTTTACTTTTTATAGCTAGCAAACAAAAAGCATACTTTCTTTGATGTTGGCCAAAATGCCATTCTAGTAATGAATTGTGCGATGCAATTGACATGTGTCTCGTTGTGTAGCTAATTAGCACATTTTATCCTTCAGGGTTCTAACTTTAAATAGCAGAGTCAGGAGTAAATGCCTTATCTCTCATCTACATACCTTTAGCTGCATATCACCTAGCACAACACAAGTCTGAAGTGCAGGTACACAAGGATTTATTTTCTATAAATACAGTTGGCCCTTCCTGTCCGCTGGTTTTGTCTTAGCAGATTCAACCAAGTGGATAGAAAGCACTATTTTCACATTTCCAGCCTCGGGTTCCCTACTGCACATTCCCAACTGCTGAGCAAAAACAGTTTCCAATCCAAGGTCGGTTAAGTTTTCCCATGTGAAGGGCCACCTTTAAAGACAAAGTTATAGGTGGTTTTTTTACTACGTTGGGAATGGGGTTCCTAACCCCTGCACTGTCCCATGGTCAACTGTAATAGAACCTGTATAGAAAATAGGAAAAATTCTAAAATAGAGATGATTATTTCTAAATATTCCATGCATACACAATATTCTAGCACCTCTCCCTTTCTTATTAATCCTTTTTTCCTTCAAGGTTTTTACTCTTGTTGACTGAGGAATACTTACTAACTTTTCTAATTTTTCTCACCTGCTGCGTGTTCATCTCACCACCAAATGTGACAACTTGCAAATTTTATCTGAGAGATTATTTTATTTTTCCTTTTGTTTTTCTCAAATAATTTTTATTTGGGCAACAAATGCATGTCAAATCCTCAATTAAAGAAAATCCTTAACCAAAGAATACTTATCAATTTGAGAGAGAGAGAGGAAAGAGTCGTCAAGTGTAAGAAATATTGATCAGTTGCCTCTCATACCCCACAGGGCAGGGATCGAATCTGCCACCTCGGTATGTACCCTGACCAGGATCAAACCCACAGTGTTTTGGTGTATAAGATGATGCTTCAACCACCTGAGTCACCTGGCTGGTGCTATGTTGGGAACTGCTCCTCCTGGTTTCAGGAGTTGTAACTACGCTCCATGGCTAAGGATGAGTGAGTGACCTCTGGAATTCGAGCCACAGGAAACAAAGTTTGTCTCTGGTAGCAAATGATGCCTCAGCTTACTCCTCCTGCCCCAAAGCATGGTTGATGTTGATGACAGGCAAGAGTCCTCACAGCAGGGGGCAACCTAAGACAGACTAGATCACTTGGGAGGCCATCATGGTAGGACTTGGGGCGCTGTGACAAAGAGGGACCATTGGACTCTTGCACCCCAGCTATGTGACGTAGCCCGAGTCCCCACGTCCTCTGGGAGAAGCACTGCCTGGCTCTAATCCACTTAAGCCTGAAAACCTGATGGGGAGAGGTGCAGCTCCTTGCCTTGCTAGAGAGGATCTGAGGAAATCTGGCATCACAAAGAATTTCCAAAAAACTTGTGAAACCTTCTCTACTAAGAGTGCTTTCATTCATATGTTAAGGGTCTAAGCAGGAAATGAGTATGTCTCCTAAAGCTTCTGCAAACCCCCTTTCCTGACAGACATTGGCCTAGACTAAACCCTCAGATCTCTTTGAAACGTTATCTACTATTTGATCCTTGCCGCCCTGTATTCCTGTGTATTACAACCCATTAAAAGCCCCTGGAGGAAGGGGCTCCTGGCCCTTTTCCTCTGAGAAACTGGCCACCTCTCCTCCCCAAGCAGATCCTGTCTTGGTAGTGTTACTTTCATCTGTGGTGGACTAGGGGGACTTGAGGGCAAAGTCACCTCCACAGTGCTAATCCTCACTTTTTAAAAAATATGCTTCCAACTTACTGTAGGGAAATTTTATATATTGCAAAATGAGTCCATTCATCCCTTAATCTGTTAATCTCAGAAATCAAGGCCCAACACCTGGCCTATTTCACTCAGCATAATGCTTTCCAGTTCCATCCATGTTGTTGCAAAGGGTAGTAGCTCCTTCTTTCTCTCTGCTGCATAGAATTCCATTGTGTATATGTACCACAATTTTTTAATCCATTCATTTACTGATGGGCACCTAGGTTGCTTCCAACTCTTGGCTATTGTAAATTGTGCTGCTATGAACATTGTGGTGCATAGGTTCTTTGATATTGATGTTTTAGGATTCTTAGAAAGACAAATACCATATGATCTCACCTTTAACAGGAAGCTAAACAACAAAACAAACAAGCAAGCAGGAAAAAAAAAAACAAAGACACTGAAATAGAGAACAAGGGGACAGCGACCAGAGGGAGAGAGAAGGGAAGTTAAGGGGAAAAGGGGGGAGGGATTTAGAGGAACAAATAGGAAGGACACAGGGACAAGAACTAAGGGGGGTGGAAATGGGAGGGAGGTGGGGAGCAAGGGGTGGGGGAGGCTGGGATGGAAGAAATAGACAAAAAAACTGTACTTGAAAAATAACTAAATAAAATTAAAAAAAAATAAATCAAGGCCCATTATGTTATTTCTTCAGATTTTTAACAGAGTTCATGTCCTAGGAGGACAAGAACACTTTACTCATGTGTTGTGTGCAACCATATAGAATCTGATAGTGCTTTACTGGAAAACTATGATTATAGTAAAAATAATGATTATAATGATAACAGAGTATATTCCAATCTTGTACCATTCTCCCACCTTCCTTCCTGAATAACAGTGGGGACACAAGTTGAGGAGATGGGAATCAGGCACAGTTACATAAAAGTGGATTAAAGAACTTTTATTACCTTAATTTCTTTCCTCCATCGGCAATTTTAGCCTTTTGAAGATAACCTTCTTTCTCAACCATCTGCAAGAAGAATGCATATGTTAAAACTGTGACAAACTTCCATGCATTATTAGTTTAAATGAACCTATGCTTTCCAATAGTCACTGCAGTGATAGAAGTTTCCAGTCATAGAACTTCATTAATAATGCATATATAGCTTATGGGAAGTGCCTGCAAGATGATACTCATTACAAGCCCTTAAATATCCAAAAGAAAGATTACAAAGAGTAATGTGAATGATTTGTTAGATAGTGATACACCTTTACTTGCTTTTCCTTCTGTGCATTGAAGTAACTTGCTTACAAAATTGATTGACAACAGTAAAACAAAGAAAAATTTTATGCCTTTCTGAATTTTACCAGTGATTCTTGGAAAAGTTCATTTTTTTCTCTTCATCTCTACTTCCTCATGTACCTGCTAAGGCCAGGGATCAACCAAAAATTCAGTGGAACCAGGTAACTGAACCACTCGAACCACAGCCATACATTTACAACAGTGATATTACAGGCACTTCATTCAGTTCCTAAGATACACTGTGCAACACCATCCTATTACCTTCTTCAACGATTTGTGTCTGCCTATTGTCCTATTTGTATTCATTGGCTTTTATTACAAACACATCTAAAAGTTTTTTTTAATCTACTCTTAAAAGTTTTATTTATTTATTTTTAGACAAAGGGGAGAGGAGCAAGAAAGAGAGGGAGAGAAACATCAGTGTGTGGTTGCCTCTCACGTGTCCCCCACCGGGGACCTAGCCTGCAACCCAGGCATGTGCCCTGACTTGGAATTGAACTGGCACACAATCTGCTGAGTCACACAGGCTGGGGCCATCTAACAAGGTTTTTTTAAAAGGATATTCAATAATTTTTATAATGCCTAGTTTTGTGGAGTTCTCATGTAAATGCACACACGCTGCAAATTGTGATGTGATGACTCCCAGAAAAGTCTATAATAAGAGTTTTAATTTCTTGGAACTCTATTTCTACCTCCCCGTTCTCACACCTTCCACACCAAGACCTTATCCTGTGCTCTCTGTTTTCACCTTCTCCCCCATGTTATATGCCAAAAGCTTTAAGAAGTCACCTGCCTAGTAACAAAGGGCCACACTCCCTCAGTGCCACCCTCTAAGCTTTCCTGTGACTGTAATGCCCCACCTCCACCATGTCTCCACTGCAAAAACTCCTAAATGTATTCAATCTACTTTAAATGCGGTTTGTCCGTTAGAGAGTTTTTCCATGATTTCCCTGTGATCTCTTTTGGGACCTGTGTCCCAAACCTCCATTTTCATTCTGCCATTGTCACTATAATAGCATTTATTGGATCACTTGTCATGGTCCACTTATTTGTTTCAGGCTGCACCTGTGCTGTGACTTTACCTTTCACACCTGGATTCCCAGAACCTAGAGTACTTGATGGCATCAAAACCACAATAATAAATGCTTTTTGAATAAATGAGTGGATGGCTAAATAACTATTTAAATGTGGATTGAAATCTTTGTAGGTGATTGGGAAAGCCAAAAATCAATCTATAGTGTGACAGATGAAAGGAAGAGATATTTAGCAGTAAATGGGTTGTCCTAAATAACTAAAATTTCACTGGTTAGATAATTGGCTATTTACAGACTCATTCTGACATCTTTTCTGACGTGTTGACTATTATATTCCTAATACAAAGCACAGTAATTAGCCTTCAAAATGTATTTGAGGGCTGTGGACCCTGTGCAGAGGTGGACACACGCAGCTGACATTGTTTCCTTGGTGGGACTCTTTAAGATCTGGAGTGTCTTCTGTCTCCCGTGCACAGTGGCAACTCTTAAAGAAAAACTGACTGCACCAGTTGCAGAAGAGACCGTGGTCACAAACAATGAGATCACTGTCGTGGTGTTGGACGAGTTGGGATGGTGTGTGCCATCGGCATTCTGGCAAAGTCTCTGGCTGATGAGCTTGCTCTTGTGGATGGACTGGAAGATAAACTCGAAGGATAAATGGTGGACCTGCAGCATGGGAGCTTGTTTCTTCATATACCAAAAATTAGGGCAGATAACAATTACTCTGTGAACACTGCTGTGGTGGTAACTGCAGGAGGTCACCAGCAACGGGGAGAGAGTTGTCTCATCCTGGTGCCGAGAAATGTCAAAGTGTTCAAACTCATTATTCCTCAGATCACTGAGTACAGCTCTGACTGTATCATAATTGTGGTTTCTAATTTAGTGGGTGTTCTCACCTATGTTACCTGGAAACTAAGTGGATTACCTAAGCACTGTGTGATTGGAAGTGGATGTAATCTGGATTCTGCTAAATTTTGCTACCTTATGGATGAAAAACTTGGCATTCATCCAAGCAGCTGCCATGGGTCGATTTTGGGAGAACACAGAAATCAAGTGGTAAAAATAATAAAAATAAAATTAAAAAAGATAATAAAATATATTTGAGGAAGACATTTTGAATGAATAATAGTGAAGATAATAGTGATATTTTGTGATAGTCATAGCAAAATATTTTCCACATATTTATATTTCCAGAAAATTCCTTCTACTTCAGTATGCTCTCCACAGTGTAAAGAATCCAAAAAGCTTTCTTATAAAATTTTTAGAATCATGATGTCCATTAGTGGGTTTTTTTGTACTTGGGTACATCTACTTACTTGCTTTCCCATCTCTTATTCTATGTATACTGTTTGTTTTTCTTGGTGCCAAGTAACCTTATTTGTGTACACACTGACACCCATGCAATAAGCTGGGTGTTTAACTCTGGGCAGCACTGGTTCCTGCAACTGTTTGGGAAAAAGACATTTTCAGGAGCAGTTAGCAAAACAGAGGGGGTCCCTTTCCTTAAGAGTGTATGTTGAGTTTTGTTGTGTAACTGTGGACAGAATTTGTTTTACTTAAGCTTTCTTCTGATGAAAATAGTTACCCAAAGCCTGAATTTATCCACCAAAAAGCTACAAGATCTCTTAACCCATCAGAAAAAAAAGTGATGCATGGATTCTCAGCTAAGAATATAGCCTTTCTAGTCCCCCCAAATTCATTAAAAAGCCACTGGGTAGACATTTATACACAGAAATGTGTTCTTGTCAGTTATCTCTCTATAAATAAGAAGAGGAATATGAAAGAAAAAAAGCCAATACTCTTTCTTTTGGATATTTAAGGGCTCGTAATGAGTATCAACTTATAAGCCATAGTGAGTATAAGCCATATAAGCATTATTAATAAAAAAAAGCAGCATTAAGTTATGTACCTTAAAGTTCCCTTTCCTTGAATATGTAAGCTACATTAGTCCAGACACTGCTGGACCTTTTCAACGTGTGTGAGACTGAGGCCAGGCTCTGTATCTCTCATTTTAGGACTATAAATGCCACATCACTGCCATCAAACATGCTGAGCCATTTCCCATGGTCTTGAGTCAATGCAATACAAGTGCCAGGTATAACCACAAATAGGCCGTAGAAAAATGAAAGAAGAGAAGATAAATAGCAAGCTAGTTATATTTTCTTATACCATCTTCTAAAGTCCCAAATGCCTTCTGTGTCATTAGAAGGAGCTAATAATCCTGGCACTGTGTACTCTTACCTACTATACAACTACTGCTAATGGGCTTGTTTTAGCATCTCTACATGTATCTGTGTGCATGTTTATACATGTCCGAACACTGCACATATTCCCTCTTTTGGGATCAAGTGTTCATTTCTCACATTATTTCTTTTGTACCAATGCAGTCATTCATTTTTCAGCTACTTTCCAAATAGAAAACTCCCTTCCTCTTGAATATAGCTCCTCTGCTCACAATGGGTTGTGAAGACTAACAGAGCACTTGTAACTTTATTGAGGCTTATATCCTTGTTGACTCACACTCAAGATATTCGGGTTCCTCTTTTAGGGGGACAAGATACCATACTCCTCAACAGCCATCTCAGAGACTTGGATTAGCTTTTGCTCTAATAAAAGCCTCCAACAAGGTTTCCAATATTGAAAGCACTGCATTATTTTGAGTCCCATTCTGGCAAGCAAATCTTTCATGAGGTAGATGTAATTACGTTAGTATTCCTTGTCATCATAACTTGAAGTACCTCACCATGTTTCAGGTACCAAGAATCAGTTATTCTGGGAAGCTCATAGAAACCAAAAGAAGTATTAAGGCAAGCAAAAGATTTCCGTGTATTTTGTATGTGGATTCATATATAGTGCCATCTTATTTAATCTGATTGTTTATCTCTACTTTATGTTAATGCCATGGTTTGAAATGATACAAGTATATAAATTACATTCGAGTATGTTAGTCACCTCGGACTCAGGTGACCTTGTCTCTAGTGATTTACAAACTTTTTACAGCTTTAGTTCTAAGCTGAGGATATTATTATGCCAAGTTCTGGGCCAACTTGAAGGCCTTTAAGATAGTGACACTCCCTAAATTATGTATATGTAAGAAATGTCAACCAATCTTTAGATGCTGAATCTGGCTTCTTGAGGGATTTGTCCATTGTCCCATAGAAGCCCTCTTTAATGTTAAGTGGTAGGAAAGATCAGCAATTTGTCCAGGTTGGACGCCAGCCAGTCTGCTAGCAATTGAGGAAGTACTCAGCAGACACAACTCTGCTCAGATACACATGAAAAGAATGAATGGTAGTAGGATATCCAGATAGCACCTGTTTATCAACCGAAGTTGGAGGGATAGACAAGGCAGGAGAGCAGAAGAAAACCTCTGATTAATGTAACAATTGTGGCAGAAAGACCAGCCTGTAATCATAAGTACAGACACTGCAATTTTTTATGTGGTCTCCATGTTGTTCTCAGATAAAAGAAGTAGAATTGAAAGCCATAGGTTTTCATCAGCACCAGTCCACCAAAAGAGTTCTATGAAAATACATGTTAATAAAAGGAAATGAACGGAATCGAAGGCTTTCACCAGATTTTGCTGAGAAAGGATTGGCTTTTAATACCACAACCACAAAGCCCATATCCCTTATAATATTTGCTCAGCCATTATTCTTTTCCCCTTTGTTCTGGTTCTGTGTTCATTGGCAGCCCTGTGACTCCTAATTCAGCTTTCTAGGTCCTTTGATGTAGGATGTGGTTGACTTAAGTAGTCAGCTTCAGTATGTTTACGGTTATGAACTTATAAATCAGAATTATAGTTTATACCTCAGACTCTTCTACATGAGATCTGGTTACTGTGAAATAGGCCCTCGGATCATTATCTCTGTAAGCCCTGATAATTTTGATAAATATAATTTTTCTACACCCACAAAACTGAGACAGGTTACAGCCCTAACCCTGAGCGAGCCCTTTAAAGCAGCGCCAACCTGTGAAACTTTCTACGACTGACTTTCTGCTCCCTGAAGGACTTTCCCTCATCTTTCTATAACTCCAACCTGGAGCTACCATCCTTTTTAAACATATTTAGAATTTATTTTTCTATTTAGTAATGAGGTGCTGGCTTTCTTTTTTTCTGAACTTTTAATAGATCACAGTACTTTGCGATAGTTGCGTTTGTTTTGATGATTTCTGTTACGAAGCTCAGAGTGAGGGCACATCTGGTTATATGGTTTTACCCCCTAAATGAGGTTCCATTTTCCTCTTAAATCTTTTTTTTTAGGTCGCTACCCACAGAAACATATTTTAGTCTGTTTTCTTTCCACTGTCTTTCCTTTTTTAAAATGCATTTTCATTTTTCTGTTTTTAAAATTAAAATTTCACTTAAAGCATACAATATAATGTTTTGATATACATATTTGTAGTGAAATGATTACTATGGTCAAGTTAAATAATGTATCCATTTCCTCACATGGTTACCTTTCTTTTCTTTTCTTTATAGTGAAAGCACCTGAGATCTACTCTCTTGGTATACATATCCGGTATATAATATAATATTGTCAACAATAATCACCGTGCTATATATCAGATCTCCAGAACACATTCGTCCTACGTAACTCTGCTGGCTTTCCTTCTCATGACACTGTCTTCAGGATGCACCACTTCTCTTCTTGGGACTCATTGTTTGTGTTTTTCCCCCCAGCCTCCAATTATTTTTATATTGTTTCCCTTGCTGTCTCAGATCTGTGGACCTTATGTGTGGAATTGCTGTGGACACAATTCATTAGAAACAGAAATAAAAACAAGGGACATGAATCATCTTAAAAATCTAGCTTATCTGTATATCATAAAAAGTGCTAATTTAAAAAAAGAATTAAATGCCTATTTACAGAACTACCTTACATACAGCTCAAGAATGAAATGTGATATTTTAGGTACATGAAATGTAATGTTTTTCTCTAATGTAAATACATAATTTACTCTGCCCACCTTTAAAAAGTATTAAGCCAGAATTCTAGTTAGATGCAGTGATTACATGACAAGGAGAACAGAAGAAAAGTGATTCTAGGTCACGCATGCGTCTTGCCTGGGTAGGACCGACTAAGCATTCTGCAAGAAGTTCCTGAGAAGCTGGTCTTGATTTCAGGTCTCAGATTTAAGCATAGTTTGCTCATCGTGACTTATTTATGACCATCTGGATACATGTTGCTTGGTGCTTTCACGGATGTTCTTCCTTTCTTACTTTTAGTCAGGATGAGAGAACGTATTGGGCTTTGGGGTTCTGCTGAATGTCTTGAACCATTTCTCAAATGCTGGGTTTGGCAAAGCACATGCTATGGCTTGCCAAGTGCTTTCCCCCGTCATTTTAAACCCCTATGTGTTTCAAAGGAAATTTTGCCCACATGTCTCTGATTTATTTACCCCTAACTCATCAAAATGTCATTAGAAAAACTATTTGATGTGTAAAGATCTCCATAGCCTTTTCCCTGAGACTTTCATCTTTTAAGCATTGTGTTTCATTTGGTCACACCAAAAAATCCAGGTTCTGTTTGGGAAATGGGCTGATGAAGTCACCTCTTTGTGTCTCAGAAACTTTCTCCTGGAAACTTTCTCCAGGTCTTCTGGAGGCTTTTCCTGTGTCTCAACTCCCCTTCCTCCTTCTTAGTTTCTCTCTTCCATCCCAAATTATACTTCTTTGTGTCTTAATATAACTACATTGCTCTTTTTTTGCCTGCCATTGGAGTTTACTAAAAATGGCTTTCCCTGTAACTGCTTGGGAAATTTATTAGTGGAATTCTTTTTTTTTTAAATTATAACCTAATTTCAGTCAAGGCAGTAAGGAAGAAAGGATTACGCAATGTTGATTGTCTTGTAGTTTGTTGTCGCACTTTTTCCTTTATCTAGAGTGAAATGAATTTAAAATGTGGGTTTGAATAGGAGAAATTATGGTAACCTGCTTCTGTGTTTTAATATGTTCTAGAAACCTCACTGTCAGCTCCAAGCCCTTCAGGATCTAAGCATTGTCTCTCCCCACACTGCCTGACTCATTTCCTTATTTTAGCCGGTGTGTGTGATTCTTGCAGTTTTTCAAATGTAGCAGTTTGTTCTGACCTCCAGACCTTTGTATTTACTGTTGTTTTTGTTTACATCATTTTTTCCAGTTCTTTGCTTGACAAACTCTACCCATCCTGCAAATCTCAATTTAAATGTCCCTTTCAAAGAGTGCTTTTATGACTAGTCAACCCAATGTAGGCTTTCGCTCTCTAAAAAAAACCTTGTTTTTCTGTTGTTAAAGCATTTAACATTTACATTTCTGTTGTAATGTGTATTTATAGAAGGACTTTTTTCTTTGCTTGTCGAACACTCTTCTTTACCCATGGATTGAAAGCCCCTCAAGAAAATACATGACTATTGACCATAATGTTGCATAACCCAGAACTAACACAGTGTCTAGTATAGGAATGCTGTCGACAAATACTAGAATTTATAAACATATGCCTGTTTGAGAAAAGGAAGTGCACATGAAACAATAAAAACCTGAAGATGGTTTCTATTAAAGTTATTACACTATATAACTTATTATTAACATACTACCAGTTTAAAGGTCTAGAAAAAAGTTATTTCAGAAGACCTAATTTTATATTTCCAAAGTGAAATTTTGAGAGACTGAAGCCCTTTTGGACTTATTTATTTATCTAATTTTTTTTGCAGTTTAAGGAAAGCATGGCCTGATCCATAGAATTATTTCTCCAGAGATGCCGTCCTTTGTTTTCAAATAAGAAAACACTGTATGCTCACAATGCCTTTCATCCTTAAAACCCTCGTAAGTATTAATTAATCCACAAAATGATACCCAGCTCCAAAAGGTACAATCTGTGACTTAACGTTTATCTGCAAAAACCTGTGTTACCCCCAAGCCATGACAACTTCCTGAGCTCTGTCCTCCAAATCCTCCTGGCTCCGGAGGCAGCAGATGATTCTCTGAAACCTGCCCCAGGCTTTTGACTCCTGCAGGGTAATCCACAGACATGCCTTATACCCTTTTGATGAAAAATAAAGACGATAAAGTTTTAACATGTTCTAAACAGGGTTATTTTTATTCAACATTTCCTTATGAAATAAAAGGAAAATGCCCTGAAAATAATCAAGTCTCATGAACAGTTATAATATGGAATATACAAGATCAGGAAAGAAACATATATTAGTGTATTTGGTGTTTCATGTTTGAAATTGTTAACACATTATAGTATTTGTTAAGCATTCATATAGATTCTCAGAAAAAACTTAGGCCTCTTGCATAGATAATGTAGGGATTTGAATATCATGTGGCAGAAATGATGTCAGTGAACTAGATAGTTTCCACTATGAGATTTTAGATTCTTGTTAGGAACGTATTTTGACAACATTCAAAAGAAATACATTATGCTTCTGTTTAATCCCATTGGTCACAATCTACTTTATTAAAGAGAACATTCAGATGTAAAGCATGGCCACTGAAGGATGATAGCATCTTCTGGAGCACCCAAAATGACATATTCCACTTTTGTAAATGAATTGCTTTCCTCCAAAGGGGATACATCTAATGGGATACTTTTGCCAGTTATGCTTAAAGCCAAAGCCTCTCATGATTCCTGGAAAATGTTCAGGAAAGTTCTGAACATGAGAGATTAAAAAAATGAGATTTATATGGCACCAAATGTTGGACATAAATAATCTGAAAAATCCACATCATAAAAATAAAGAGTAATAACACTAACTTAAAGGATTTTATTATTTTCTAAAGTGTTTTAATGTATATTATTTCATCCATGGTAGCTCATGCTGGTAGGCATTGCCAAGGAAAACTACTGCAAAAACCTGTGCATTACTCCATAACCAACATTGAGGCATGAGGGAAGGAAGGAGAATTGTAGGGATTGAAGTAAGGAACATGTCAGATTTGTGAAAAAAATATGTATGTGTATAAATATAGTGTTTATATATATTTATTTATTTTTAATGTTTGTATCACTGTTCAGTTACGGTTGTCCCCATTTTCTCCCATTACTCTACCCTGCCCTACCCACTACCCACCTCCCACATTCAGTCCTCCTCGCTGTTGTCTTTGTCCATGGGTCCTTTATACACGTTCCTTGACAACCCTTCCCCTCTTTCCCCCATTATTCCCCCTGGCTCTGGTCACTGTCAGTTTGTTCTCTATGTTTATGTCTCTGGTTCTATTTATATCTAGATTAGTAATAGGTAAAGAAAACTTTACATGTTCTAAAATAACTCAGTTCTTGGTGTAAATTGTAATAGTTGAAAAAGAATCAGAATGTGCTATTTGGGGGAACTGGTAGTTATTTTGTCCTTGTCCAACATAATGGAGTAACTCACAAATAAAAGTTGTGGGTGAAAGGTAAACATTTCTATCTTTAAAATCACATTAAATCATTAAAGTAGAGAGTAAAAATTGAATATAAACTTTGTTCACTGGGCAGTTCTAGATAAACAAGTACTGAGATGAAGGATCCAGGGAAACTCAAGTCAGCAGTCAGCAACAGGAAGTAAATTGGTTGGTAGTTGCAAAAATGTATTCATATGTGTGTATGTGTGAGTGTGTGCATGAGGGAGTAGAAGGGAGAGAAAACAAGACTGATAGACATTACAAACTAGAGCTTAACAAATTCTCCCCTTGTATTTAGCAGTGCCAATGCCACCTCTCTGACCTAACAAAGAGTACTGGAGACATAGATATGTTATTTATCAATGTACTAATCCATACTTTTGGATATTCAAAATAAATTTTATTTATTAAGAATTGAGGCCCCAGAGTCAACACAGCCAACTACAGGCCAATAAACCAACCAATAACCTCAATGTTAAGAAGGTAAATTGAGAAAATCATTTCTTAATATTCTACTTTCTTTATTATTAGCCTATTTTTGATATGTAGATACAGTGCAAATATGCCATTAGTTATTGGTTAAATTTAAATAATAACCATAATTTGATTTTTTTAAAATTGTAATTACTATTTGTAAAACACCTTAAGGTTGCAGACACCTTAAAGCACTGTTCAAATATAATTGTACATATATTTGCATGCATATATTATATATATAACTGCACATGTATATTTATGTTACAAACAGACTCATGTAGCTCTGTTTTCAGTCTAACTTCTGCCATGTTTCATTAAGCACTTCAAAACAAACATTTCCTTTTTCATATTTAAAATATACCTCTCTTTATAATGGTGTATATGTACTTTATTTGTTTTATAAGCCAAAGGTATGGGGAAAATGCAATTACTTCTCTACTTATTGGACAGTTACATAATGACATGCGTTACATAAAGTCCTAGCAGTAAAATAGTGAGTGAGGCACAGCCCTCCCCTCAAATAGCATATCATTCAGCAAAGAGATAGTGAAAGCAACCACCAATAAAACAAAATGAAACCAACCAAAAGGGAGAACACAATTGCAAACAGCTCCAACAAGGGATTACTATCCAAAATATATAAAGAACTCATACAACTCAATACCGAACAAACAACCCAATTAAAAATGAGCAGAGGACTTGAGCAGACACTTCTCTTACCCCTATGTCCATTGTAGCATTATTCACAGTGGCGAAGACATGGAAACAACCAAAGTGTCCTTTTATAGATGAATGCATAAAGTTGTGGTACATATTCACAACATAATACTATTCAGCCATAAGAAAGAACATTTGCAAAACCGTGGATGGACCTTGAGAATACTATGTCAAAAGTAAGTCAGACAGAAAGAGTTAAAAACTATATGATTGCACTCATATGTGGCATATAAACTGAAAATAACAAATGAGAAAACAAAACAAATACACAAATAAAAAGCTCATAGACACAAACAAAAGTATGGTTATTTACCTGAGAGAAGGGGGATGGAGAGATAAAACCAGTCAAATATATGGTGACAAAAAGATTCAACTTTAGGGTGGTGAACACATAATGCTATATACTGATGATGTATCATGGAATTGTACCACTGAACACTATATAATTTCATTAACCAATCTCACCCCAGTAAATTTAGTTTTAAAAAGAAAAAAAATGCTATATCCACCAAAAAATTCTTACAAAATCATGCTTAAATATTAAGTTCAACGTAATGAAGAAAAGTAAAGCTGCTGTAGAGAGGTAGAATAAAAAAGGGCTACAGATTCTAATTTGAGGAATCAGAGAAATCCTTGCTAAAAAATAAATAAGTGTTCTCTAAGTTGAGACCTGAAAAGTTGATCATGAAAAGAAGATACTGTTATATCTACTTAAATTGAAAAAAATTGGCTTTCACTAAGAAAAACAGGCATATATTTATTATCTATAATCAACAATATTATTTTAATAAACCTATAATGTCTTAATATTAAATCAATCGACAAACATCTCCTTTCTGAACAAACACTAAAAAAGCCAAAAGCAATGTAAGGGGGAAGTATGATATAATAAAGAAAATACGAGTCATGACCCCTAACTTCAAAGCATTTGCAGTCTAGCCATGATATGAGCCTATTACCCATGAAATAAGAGTGAACAACAAAAGAGTGCTGGGGTGAAGAAAATATAATTATTACAGGAAATTTAAGCTCCTTCAGAGTAACAGCTGTCCTGATCATGTTACTATTGTTGGCTCGAGGGTATGTATTTTGGAGTAGATAATAAATAAGGTAAATCAGGGACCATGAGAATGTTATGTAGACTTGATGCTAAAGAAAATAGAAAGCTGTTGAACATGTTGAGAAGAGGAATGATATAACATAGGTGTTATTTAAAGAAGGTTGGTGTGGGAGAGTCCTGAGGCTGTGTACCACAGAGTACAGGGGGCCAGTTGAGGAACTGAGATCTGAAACATTAATGGCAACATAGGTGAAGAGTCATAGAGAAAATACAGGCTCCAAAGAAGATGTGTTCTCAGCCTCAATAACATCGACGGTCTCAGTGCAAATGGGAACCAGTTTGGCACCAAGGTGATGATGGGTTCAGTTTAGGAGATTTCACTTCTGAAATGACACTGAGGCACAGGAGAACAAATGACTAATTAGCAGTTCAAGAGGCAGGATGAGATAATGAAGAATGTATATAAGAATACATCTGTGTATTATAGGCTTTGAAGTAAAAACCAAAGCCATTAACTGTCTGATTTGTGCACTCATTTACCATATTTACTGAGTTCTTATCAGGTTCTAGCAATTATTATAAAAACCATGGAAATAGAGTTATGGAAATAGGAGATAGTACTCCTGCTTACACAAAATATTCTAATGAAATGACAAACAAATAACATTTATAGTATGCTACATGGTTGTAAGTTCTATGGAGAAAATTAAACTGGGATCAGAGAAAAGGAGTGTGGACAGAAATGGTAGGAAGGAATTTTTTTGTTTTGTTTTTGTTTTTAAGAGAGGTTAGGAAAGACCTGCCTTAGAAGGTGATAGTTGAATAGAAATATAAAACAAATGAAGTAATGAGTTTTACAAATTTCTGGTTATCAAGTGAATTATTTTGTTCCAGGCACATAAAAAACAAAAGCAAAGACAGAAACAGTTTTAATGACCCAGAGCAAGAAGAAAGGTGGTCGGCTTGGCTGGAGCAGAATAAGCCAGGAGAAGAAAGAAAATGATGAGGCCAGGAAGGTAACTGGGACCCATAGGATCTGATGAACTACTGGATGTTTTTCAGCTTTTACCCTGGGGATAGATGGGAAGCCAGAGAGGAATTGGAGCCAAGGTGTGACATGACATAACTTGTATCTTAGCCAGCTCACTTGAGCTATTGTGTTAAAAATAAAAAGTAGAGAGCAAGGGTTAAAGTGGGCACATCCATAATGAGGTTATTGTAATAAACCAGGTGAGACATGACATAGTATAAAGGTGGTGAGAAGTGAACTTTAAAATTAGTATCCAGGCTAATTTTAAAGATGGAGTAACAGGGACTGAAGCACCTGGAAAATTACCTTAGCATATTATAAAATGGAAAAAACTGTATTAAGAACAAAATCAGAATTAATTTGGGATGTATTAAGTTTGAAATATATGTTAGATATCTAAATGAAAATGTCATAATATATATATATATATATTACTGGAGTTTAGGGCAGTGGTCTATCATGGAAAACTAGTTAGTATAACACAATATATAAAGCCATAAAAGTGAATGAGATACTCTAGTGAATACATATAAAGAAAAAGAAGACAAATTAAGAACTGAGCCACAAAGTTAAGAGGAATCAGCTAAGAAGTTGGAAAATGAGTAGTCATTTAATTAACTGGAGATCCATGAAAAGTGGCTTATTAGTAGCCATGCGAGAAAAATATTTTTTAAAAAAGAGAGTTATCAATTGGGTTAAATACCAGGCAGGTCTCCTGAGGAGAAAACATGAAACTTTACAGATGGATTTAGCAATATGAAAACAATTGATGACCTTGATAGAGGATGAGAGGTTGGAATAAAAGCCTAAATGAAATTTGTTCAAGAGATTGAGGGTAGAATTTAACTGCAGTAAGGGTAGATAATTCTTGTAAGGAATTTTTATTCTAAAGCAGTGGAGAGTTATGGAGCAATAGCTAAAGTGAAGATGAGTGATCTAGAATATGCAAAGCAGAAGAAAGTAAGGTGATTGATTCAGGAAAATATTTTTGGTGTTAAGGATGAGAAAGTCCAAAGATAAATGGAATGGAATAGTAGGAGATAGATGGGAATAAAGTCATCACTGTGTAGTATCCTGTGAGCCAATGCACTGCTAGCATGTTGACCAATGTGAAATACAGCAAGAAGTATTTATCAAAAAGGATGTCATTAGTAGAAAAAGCATCAGAATATATTAGAAAGGTTGGATTTACATATTTTGATGTTTTAAAGGTTTATTTATTTATTTATCTATTTTTTAGAGAGAGGGGAAAGGAAGGAGGAAGAGAGGAATAGAAACATCAATGTGTGATTTCCTCTGGTGTGCTCCCTCTACAGGGCACCTGGCTCACAACCCAGGCATGTGCCCTGACTGGAGATCAAACTGGTGGCCCTTTGCTTTGCAGGCAGGTACTCAATCCGCTCAATCCACCAGTCAGGTAGACATTCATGTTTTTAAAATATCTCCAATATTTCATTCATTTGTGGTATTTATAATGTTTCAGGTACTCTTCTGGTCATTTGGATACAACAATAAACAAAAGTTAAAAAAGAAAAAAAACTACTCTCATGGACTTGGAATTTAGTAAGAAAAGATTGATTTTTCCTTAATAAAATTGTCAACATTTTCCATAAGCTCCACCCCAGAAAATCTATGATTTCTGTTATACCCAGTCTTGAGTAATACCTTCTCCTTGAATGTAGACTGGATTCTGACCAAAAGAATGTGGCAAAGTTGTTGGGATATCATTTCCATCATTAGGTTACAAGAGATTTCAACTTCTATCTTGTTAGTAGACTCCCATGCTTGCTCAGCTTGCTGCGTGCTTTGAAAAGCAAGCTGCCATGCTGGAGAAGCCTATGTGGCAGGTAACTGAGAACGGTCTCTGGCTAGCAGCCCTGGAGGAACAGCCCTGCCAACAACCATGTACATGAGTTGAAAGCTGATACTTCCCCTGTCAAGCCTCAGACGTGACCCCAGTTCTGGCTCAAACTTTGATGCAGACTTTTGAGGGACTCTGAGTTAGGGGACTCTGCTAAGCCATGCCAATTTCTGACCCACAAAATCATAAGGTAACACTGTTCTATGTTGCTGAGTTTTGAGGTAATTCACTCTGTAGCAGCAAAGAATACAATTTTGAAGGGAAAATATCACTTACCAATTGTTCCAATGGAGGAATGATATCTTTCAAGACATGCTGTGAATGATTCCTTCTGTGCCGGGATATCTACAAAAATATTGACATTTGATATTATTCCAATTTTCTTTTTAAAAAGCTACAAATGATTTAAAGACTATAAATTAATGAGTATACACAAAATTAATTTTATTCAGATTAATTCAAGATGGCGAATAAAGTAGATATAAAATAGGAAATAAATCTTTTAGAGATTCACTAATTTGAATGAAATGTGTACTCAAAGATGACTGGCTGCAATAATATCTCATATCCCACATGCTCTTTTCTACCATGTAACCTTCTATAAGTGGTGGCATCTATGTTTTTCATTTTGAACCAGGACAGACATTTATGCCTGCTTCAAACAAAAAGTACAGCAGAAATGATTATGACTTCAAATATTAGGATGTAAAAATGCCATGTTCTCTTTGAATGCTCACATTTGAAAACTAGTCACCTTGTTGTGAGGAAGGCTAAATAATCCTACAGGTAAAGACCAGCAGGAGAAAACTCTGTATTTTCTGGCTGACAGACTAGCTCAGGAGCCAGAAGACAGCCAATATCTACCATGAATCATGTGAGCATAAAGATCTCCTGGTGATTTCTTTTCCCAGCCATCTAGTCAACCCCAGGCTTCAAGTCTTCCCAGCAGAGACCTAACACATTATGTGGTGCAGACAAGCTGTTCCTGCTATGACTTATCTGAATTTTTAACCATACTCTATAAGAATAACATAGTTTTATACCTCTATATTTCAGGGTGATTTACATTGCTGCAATAATTAGAACAAAATATTTAATATTGAAACACTTTGTGATATGACGTGAACTCAGCTTTTTCAGAGTCAATGGCCTAGTAATTTTCTTGTTTTCTACTACTATCCATTTAACTATACAGCAGTCACACAATTAAGAGCTTTTAAAACTAATTTTTAATGCTTTTCTTGGTTTCTCTTTCCTAAAGAAGCATCAAATACTGATTCTCTAATAAAACAAATAAAAGAAGGTATGCATAATTAAATATTGTACAATTTGATAACTTAAAAGTTCTCAATAGTACTGTTATATTTTACTAAATGGGAATGTCATAATATTTTGTAAGAAGAGGGTGGGAATGGGTGGGACAGGATGGGGGCACAAGAAGGGTCACTATTACGAAAAAAGCACAAGCTTGAGGACTATGTCTAGAAAAGATCTTTGGATGTCTTTGTCTCTGGTTGCTGGCACTAAAATGAATAGATCAATGTCTACTAAGATTTGGAGGGTGCTGTATTACCAAAGAAACCAGAAACCTGGCCCCAAAATAACATGACTATGTCCAACCCTTGGATACCATATTTTGCTTCACAAAAACTGGATTGCAAAAGCAGTTCGAAATTCGAGGAAGCCAGTCTATCTAATACCCGCTTCAGATATGACCAATGGAGGACAATGGAGAGGGAATAACCTCCAGAATATAGAGCCAGAACCCCTAGAAATCAATGGACGCAGAAAATTTCCCAGAAAGGAGAGACAGGACAACCAGGAGCTGTCTCTACTGCCAGGATGAGTCTCCCAGGGCCTTCCTGTCTAGTAGGGTTTAATTATCATCCTGGTTTGATGACTATTGGCCATTTATTACTATTTCCTTTACAAATGAGATGGTTTCTTTTTTGGTTAGTTTGTTTATTTTTTCTAGTCTTCAAGCTTTTGCTTCAGCATTATCTATTGGGTATGATGAAAAAAGGAAGACAAAGAGCTTATTTTTCAAATTCTAACTCCTTAACCCTCTTGAGAGAAATTTGGTCTGGTGGAGAAAGCTACTTATCACCACTGACTTTGGAACTGGAGCTGGATGAAGTCACTGGGACTTTCCATTGTCTCCTTTGAAAAAGCAGATGAATCTGTTACTGAGGGTTGGAAGACAGGTACAAACTTGTATACAGAGAGAGGTCACTGTGGCAGAGTCCAATGGTCACTCACCACATTCTGTCCTCTCCTTTCCTGGGCACATATCTAGATGCATTTCTCAGCCTGCCTTGCAGTTGGAATGGAGTCGTTTAAACCAATGGAGAGCAAGCAGAAACAAAAAGAACCTCTCTGTATAAGACTTGATAGTCTTATAGAGACTATCAAGTGAGACAACCAGTGAGTGCTTTCCCACTGCATTTCCTCTTTCCTTCTGTGCTAGCTGGAGACAACATTGAATGAGGCCTTACAGGAGGAGGAAGATGAAAGATAAAAAATTTTCATGTCAAGAGAAGCCAAACGCAGGTCAGCTTATTTTGGAAAAATTTTATACTTAGAGGAAAGTTGCCAAGAGTAAGAGTTGCTACAGAAAACTCCCTTCTAACTGTTATGTAGTAAGAAGTAAACTTATGTTTCTTGAAACCATCATCCATTGTAGAGAATTTTATGGCTGATAGAATTACCTTAAATAAAGTAACTATAATTGATGCTCAATCAATGTCTAAAAGAAAAGTCTTTTACATAAGGGATGTGAGAGCTAGAAACAAAAACTTCACACATGTCATTCATTGATATTTTAGCTTCTTAGCAGGGAGGAGATATAAATATATTTGGAATTTAGACCTCTTAAGGAACCAATAATTCATTTTATATCATCATACATTTAAAAAGTACTACCCTTTCTTTTAAAGATTTTATGTATGCATGTATGTATGTACCTATGTATGTGTTTACAGAGAGAGGAGAAAAGAGGGAGAAAGTTAGGGAAGGAAATACTGATTAGTTGACTCTCCTATGTGCCCTTAACAGGCACGAACCCACAACTCAGGCATGTGCTCCAACTGTGAATTGAACTGGCAACATTTTGCTTTGCTGGATGATGCCCAACCAATGAGCCACACCAGTCAGGGATAAAACTTATTACTCTTAACTACAACTCATAATAAAATTTATAATCAGTGAAAATTTAATATGTATGTTATATTCAACTGAGAAGAGTGGAAAGGTCCGGGGATAGGAGTTTTCTTGTTCAATTTTCCTGAAACACTGCTGGATTTCTAGTCTTGGGGTAAAAGTCATTGTGCTTGTTTGTAAAGTACATCAAGCTTTAAATGTTAGAGAAAGCAGTGGCAAGAAAATGCCTCTATAGTATTGAAGAATGGGTGCCTGGTCATTCACAAGTCAGTCTTATCACTCTTCTACAGCCACGCCCATGCCATATTTTGTTGTCCTACCATTACCAGGTACTGGTGGGTCTAGTGGCCCACTGTCCTCTAAATATTTCCTTCTAGTCACCTGTAGAAAGCTTTATTATGAGGTAATGTTGCACAATGTATTGCGTGCATATCACCAACGGCACAAGAGATTATTTTAGCTAATGAATATTTTAATTTTAATTATTTACATAATCTTAAAATGTAGTGGAAAAAAGATCACATTTATTGGTGGTAAAATATATTTTCTATTAACAAAGTTATTTAAGTCCATGAAATATGAAAAAACTCCAAGTGTTTTTCAAACAATAAGTGAATGACTGAAGTTTGGGACATACATTTTAACGAGAAGAATTTGGAACAGAAATGACCAGTTACTGAGTACATGCATTTCACCCTTGTAGGAAAACATTAGTTCCATGGTATAAACAAAATTCAAATTGATAAATAATACAATAATATTGTCTGTTAACATTTATTGAGTGTGTATTATTTGCCAGGTATGATTCTAAGCGTTTTGCATTTATTAATATATATAATTCTCACCCAAACCCTAAGAGGTCAGTTATATTATCTCTTTTTCATAAATATTAGAAACACAGCCACAGATCATTTTAAGTAACTGTGATAAATGACAAACCACAGCCAGTGATAAGCATGGATGATGTTTTAACATAGATCTAATCCCTCAATAAAGTGCAGGACTTGACTGAAATTTGTTTCTTCAACAATATAAATGTGTGTGTATGAAGACAGGCACTAAAACTGCTTAGGGAACTACAAAGCTGAAATCCACCATGTGCAGAAATGGATATTGCTGATAGAAATTTGAAGAGTCAATCATAAATTTGTACACAGTCACATAAGAAGCTAGAAATCAAGGTTCAAATCTGTTATAAATCACCTTAATATTCCTTTAGGGGAAGTAATATTACTGCTAATTCCCAAATTATTAAGCTATCCTATCTATCATGTTTGACCAAGTTATGAAGATGTAGGAAAAAAGGATTTTCATCACCTGTCTTTTGCTTTTCTGCTTTTCTCAGTTAAGCATTAGGCACAGAAATATGTCATCATTCCAAATCAGGTTATCCTGACTGAAACATTATTTAGAAATTCTGGATCCAGAATTGCTCAGTTGTCTTGCATGGATATTAGGAAAAGTTAGGATGTTTCAGGAGATCTGCCTTTATATAATAATAATTGTGGAAAAAACTTGAGGTCAATCAAGTTTTGATTTAAATTTGAAGGGGAACGTCTTTTCTATGCTATAGTTTAAATGACAAAAAAATAATTTAGTACTTATATAATAGTTTACCAATAGCTTATTATTATCACCTGGTAATTTTGCTAATCATTCTGGGACACATCCTTGAAAAATGTTCTCACTTAAGACATTAGATGTCCTTATGAACCATTCAATTTATCCAGTACACATCTGGTATTTAGTACACTTGTATAGCAGTAAGTTCTAATAGTAGGTGCTCAAAATGTACTTCTTTATTAATATTATAAAATATTTCTAGTACTAACATTGCAAAGAAAGCACTTTGTTTTGGACAGTCCCAATTTTTCCCCACAAATTCATAATTTCTAAATGTACCTGATATCATAAACCTACATTCTGCAAATTACTTCTGGATAAGTTTCAGAATGCAGGCAGTAGGAGGCTTTTGTAATTGTGCAAAATGAAGTGGGAAAATGGAGCATTCAGAGTGTGCAATGCATATTTTCCTTTAAGGTTTTTTTTGCTCTTATTAGAATATGCAGGCTAATTAAGTCTTTTAAATAATTTTTTTCAAAAAAAGGAATTAAAAAGTCACTTTCTTCAAGGTGTCTATTTTTGTTTTATTCTTCTTTCACTTTTATCTATTTAAAGAATATAAA